GGCAAAGGTGGAAGGAAGCTTTCAAGCTGAAAAGAATGGTACCAGTCAGATAGGAGAAATTGTTGAATTCTGCATATATTTTGAGGGCACGACCAGCAGGATCTGTTAGTGGATGTGGAGGTGAGAGAGAGGAGACAAGGAAGAGTCCAAAATGTCTGACATGAGCAAGTGGAGAAATGGAGCTGCAATTTGCTGAGATGGGGGAGACCATGGGAGACCCCCATCTGAGATGTATGGTGGACATTCAAATGAATGTGTCGGGTGGGCAGTTAGGTACTCAGGACTGTGTGGGATGGTTTGTTTTTTGTTTTTTTGAGACAGAGTCTCGCTCTGGCACCCAGGCTGGAGTGCACTGGTGCAATCTTGGCTCACTGCAACCTCCACCTCCCAGGTTCAAGCAATTCTCCTGCCTCAGCCTCCTGAGTTGCTGGGATTACAGACCTGAACCACCACACCTGGCTAATTGTGTTGTATTTTTAGTAGAGATGGGGTTTCACCATGTTGGGCAGGCTGGTCTCAAACTCCTGACCTCAGGTGATCCGCCAACCTCAGCCTCCCAAAATGCTGGGATTACAGACGTGAGCCACTGCGCCCAGCTTCAGGATAGTTTTTAAGCCTTGAGAATGGATGAGATTGGCTAGTGTATGAGCGTAGATAGAAAAGGGAAATCCAAGTTTGGGGCTCTGGGGCACTCCAACATTAAATAATCAAAAAGAAGAAGAGGAACCAACAAGATGGACCCAGAAGAAGTGACAGTGAGACAGGAAGGAAAATAGAGTATGTGTCCTGGAAGCCAAAGAAAAGCAGAGCTGTCAAATGGGTCGAATGCTGCTTTCAGGTCAAGGCAGGCAAGGACTGTGGCTTGGCCAGTGGATTAGCAATGGGAATGTCATTGGAGATCTTGGAGTGGGCAGTTTCAGTGGGGCAATGAGGGTAAAAGCATGATAGGAAGGGAGGACAGCACTTGGGGAGAGTATTCTTCCAAAAAGGTTTCTTTACTCTGAAGAGAAAGAATCAAATAAGACAAGCAGCTGGAAGGGTCTAGTAGACCTGTGAAGTGGTGCTGTTGTCACCATGCACCCACGCTTTGATAGAATAAAACAAATTGCCCAAGGTTTTTTTATTATTATTATTATGGTATATGTTGAGAATCAGTTATTCTGAACCCAGAGCCCACATTCTTAACCTACGCTCCACAACAAAGGGCTGAAAGCAAGAACTTCATTTATTGGTACACCTATGGGAACCAGCACAGGCCTATCGGCAAAAAGAGCCAAAAGAAAATTATGGAATACTTAAAGGAAACAGACTATTAGTCTTAATTTAAAATTTTCTATATACTATATACCTATGCCTATTTTAAATTTTGTAGATACTCTCAGCCTGGTGCAGTGGGTCACACCTGTAATCCCAGCACTTTGGGAGGCCAAGACAGGTGGATCACTTGAGGTTAGGAATTCAAGACCAGGCTGACCAACATGGTGAAACCCCATCTCTACTAAAAATACAAAAATTATCTGGGCATGGTGGTGCACACCTGTGATTTAATTTTGAGACAGAGTCTCGCTCTTGGCACCCAGGCTGGAGGTACACTGGTGCAATCTTGGCTCACTGCAACCTCCACCTCCCAGGTTCAAGGCAATTCTCCTGCCTCAGCCTCCTGAGTTGCTGGGATTACAGACCCGCACCACCACACCTGGCTAATTGTTGTGATTTTTTAAGAGATGGGGTTCACCATGTTGGGCAGGCTGGTCTCAAACCTCCTGACCTCAGGTGATCGCCAACCTCAGCCTCCCAAAATGCTGGGATTACAGACGTGGAGCCACTGCGCCCAGCTTCAGGATGTTTTTAAGCCTTGAGAATGGATGAGATGGCTAGTGTATGAGCGTAGATAGAAAAGGGAAATCCAAGTTGGGGCTCTGGGGCACTCCAACATTAAATAATCAAAAAAGAAGAGGAACCAACAAGATGGACCCAGAAGAAGTGACAGTGAGACAGGAAGGAAATAGAGTATGTGTCTGGAAGCCAAGAAAAGCAGGAGCTGTCAATGGGGTCGAATGCTGCTTTCAGGCCAAGGGCAGG